TGAATTCCTGCAGAAATCAAATCCCTAGATAGCAAATTACCAAATCCAAACGTAATTGATTAGTAAATAAATCATAAATCAAACTGCAGTCATTAGGACCAAACAAAATCACCCAAAACAGCGAATCGTAATACTAATCCCAAATTAACACTGACTGCTTCAACATCTAATCACAGAAGAACAAGATAACTAACCAGATTTATTTGAAATGAATCGATGAAATAGGGAGAAAAGGGAAGGCTGAAGAAGAAACATGCAAAGCTAATACGTGCAGTCAAACAGCGAAGAGTTTTCCGGGAATGTTGGCTGTGGTTCCGGGAAAGGAGAAAACTGGTCGTCGGAGAGGACGGGTTGTCGGTTGATTATTGGTAAAATGGCGGCGTGGAGACCAATAATTGAACGAGGCTTTATGGATGGAGAAGTCTGTTATGGATTTACGCGGCGTTGGGAAGTTGGGATTGCCGACGTGGCGGGTTTTTATCCATCAAACGGACATGGATATGGAGTTTCTAGAAGTATTGTTTTTGGAGTAGGTCCCTAAACCTGGTTAATTTCCTTGATTTCGCCCTTAAACTTATTGTATTGTGGCAAGTTGTACCTAATTATTAATTAAGGAGGGGGTTTAGGAAGAAAGAAGTGTGATTATGGCACTTGACTGTTCGGGTCAATTGGCACTCTGTCAACTTGAGGTGCATTCTCCATTTCTTATGAACGGTTTCAAGCTCGCTCCTTAACAACTTATTCAAAAAATAAAAAAGAAATGTGATTATGATGTCTCATTGATAACTTGTCTATTAAGATGGGTTCGAATCCCACCTTGTCTTCTTGTAATCCCTCTTACCTTAATTCCCTTTGTGTGTGTGTTTGTGTGTTTTCTTTTTTTTTTTTTAAACAAAAGGGTTTGGGATACTAAGTGAATAATAGAATGCATATTCCCGGCTTATTCCTTTCTTGAATTGGGTATATCAACAAGGAATAGGATTGGATATTTCCATGTACCATGCACTTTTTTTTTTTTTTGAACAAATTGTTGAGGGGCGGGCTTCGAGCCTGCTCATGAGGAAGAGAAAATGTACCTCAAAATGACAGGTTGTCAGTTAACCTGAAGAGTCAGGTGCATGTACTATTCACATTTCAAGTATAGATTTGAAAAAATAACACATTTCTTTCCAACCAAATTTGCTTCGTAAGCTTATGTAGGGTAAGAACAAAATTTTTCATTTTTTGGTAATCCAGTCTGCATTTGTACCATTAAAAAAATGATAGGGGAGAATCACCCAACCCAAGTTCAGTGGCCTCTCCCATTGTTGGATTGCATAAACCATTTCCGAAGGAAAAAAAAAAAAAAAGACTATGTAGTTAAAGTATTAATGGAGACATCACAGTAGGTGAATCTTCTCCTCAGGTTTTCTATTTAGGTACTTAATGCCTCTAAGGAGTATTTTGATTAGTAATAATTTGAGAGTTGAGATTACAAATTAGAGGTGTAAGATTTAAATTTCAAAATAAATTAATTGACCATAAACCTTACATAGAAAACAATTGTTTAGTGGTTGATCTAATTTTGAGCTTATTAATAATGTCTTCTATCTTATTTCAAATTAAAATTTTATACTAACAAAAAAAAAGTTTATTGTTTATTTAATATATTTTATCATTAGTTTGGCAATTCTTTTTGCATTTACGGTAGCTTGTCTTTTGATTTTTAGTTTTTAGTTTCTTACTGTAATGATTCATCGGATTAAGATTTTGAGGCAAAAGAAAAAAAAAATCATGTTCAAAGAGATCAAACTCTTTTTTTATGGATTAAAATCATTGATCCCTCTACTTCTGTAAAATATCTTTTTTTAGGTTTTTTTACTTAAAAAACCCATTTTAGATCCCTAATGTTTGGAAATTACATTTTCGTATTTCTGTTAAAATTTGATGTTAGATAACAAAATTTTCAAAGTAAAAAGATAATAAGGACTTTTTATCAAAGTAGACGATCCACATCGGGGTTATTTTTTGTCATTTTTTAACCATTTTTTTATTCTTTTACTTCAAAATTCTTGTCATCTAATACGTTATACGAGCAAAAGTTAACAAAAAAATTAAAAATTGACCATATTTCAAACTTTGGGATTAAAAGGGTTTTTTAAGTAAAAAAAACTAAAATTAAATTTTTTATGCTACCTACACTATTTGATCATATACAACCTATATCTAATATTAGCATATATATAGGTCCCATCCGATCAACAGTTAAAAAGAATTCAACTACTCTACAACTTGCAGATATCTTTTCAACGTTCAAATCAATATCTTCCATAGCTACAACATAAAAAAATATTAGAAGAGAAACAGGCAACTTCTATATTTCTTTGTTTCTCACCCTAACTGATGTCATTATAAATGGAACAAACATAGGATCTCTATTTTAAATGTTGATTACTATTAGGCTAGAAAGTGAATTGACATTCTCTTTCCACTCAACCACATTTTGTAATGGGACTATATAATCAAAAGGGAAAAATCACATCTTAATGATGATTAGTTGGTAGGAGCACTTTCAAGATACAAAGGCAATCCTTTACCGGAAAAAGGAAACTGTGTTAACCGTTGCAAATGAAAATCTAACCGCCGTTTTGATTTGAACTGTTTCCTGGGTATGGCCCGGTTTCGTTAATATTTCCTTCCAAAAAGTAGAATGGTTCAACGGTAACAAACACTTGATTACCAAAAAATAAGATACCATCATTGAATTATAACAAGTTGATATGTTATAACATTTTATTGTTAAAATTTAAAAAGAATTGTTATCGAAAAAGTTGTGATTTAATTAACAAAAGAGTTTGCTTGTCACTTTATTGATCAAGATTCAATTTTTTGAAAGTAACTAATGAAAAGATAATTTCTTATAAATTCTCTAGTCTCAACATGAATAACTTACTTTTAATTAAATTAGGGAGAGATTAGTATTGAATTACATGCAAATTAATTTGAAGACATCCTGAGTGCTAAAAAAAAATTGTCAATAATGTCATTGTTCTACTAATAACTTAACCAGTTGAATTCCACTTGCTTGCATAATCTTTTATATAACAAATGATTCATCCCCCTAAAAAAACTAAGCATTTAATATGACCATATAGTTTAAAACAATATTATGTATGTCAAATTAACAATTTTAGTGGAGTTTAGATAATTGGCTATTTAAATATAGTTTATAATTAATAATTGATAATCAATATTATATAATTATTAATCATTGTTAATTATAATTTAAAGTATGAATCTATTTCATCAAAACCAAAAATTAATAGTTAATTTTAACCAATGACCTAGATGGTTTAATTGTAATTTCATTTCATTAGAAATAAGAGATCTTAAAATTGAGTCGCATGATATATATGTGGAATGAAATAATAGATGAGAAAGAATTGTTTTTCGTTGTGTAATTAACATAAAAAAAAAAAAAAAAAAACCTAGTCTTAGAACTCAAACAAACTGACCCTTAGTTACGTATCATGTCAAAGGGGCTGCCTGAAAGCTTTAAATGCATGCTTAGCATAAACATAAACAATATTTTATACTTTATAATATGATAGAAAATATTCAAAAAATGAAAAAAGAACAATAAGAAGATGAATGTGTTAAGCTCTATTTGGAACAATTAATAGCTAGCCAATCATAATTATTTCACTGTTGATCTTTGTTATTTATAATCCAAATACTATTACTGTTGTTCTAAATAAATAAATCAAAGACAATTTCATAGTATATTTTTCTACTAAAAAAGTGAATAACAATAAAAAAGGAAGAAAGTTTATCCAAAAGAAAAAAATACTGTTGTTAGTAACACATTACAAGCTACCAAAAATCCACCAACGAGTGATTGGATTAAGTGATAAGCGGCTTGTTCCAGTTTAAGTAAGATCTCGAGTTCGAAACATTGTGTACGCAGCAGTCCCCGCTAGAAGACCTCCTCACCATTTTCAAATGCGCGACGCGAATCGGATCCAGATTAGTCGGGGAAAACCCCAAATACCAAGCGAAAAACCAAAAAAAAAAAAAACAAGCTACCAAAAATCCAAAACGACCCAATTTTGGACAATAAACAGAAAAAAGGGAAATCCTGTCTGGTTCACTACACTACTTGCCTCATTTTACCCCACCTACGAATCACGTGCTCCTCACGTGACATGATGACATCGCCCCAATATTTGAATTTTGGACCTCACCGCCTTTTCTCCATTCCCACTTCAATTATTTAATGCTTAAAAAATTTTATTTCCCCTATTCGTTCAAATTCAAATCATATCCTCTCCCCCAAAAAAAGAAGAACACCTTCCCCAGGTTTTTTCCTTCCTTCCTCTTCGATTCCATTTTAATCTCCAGCTATTTTTTTTTTTATTTCAGATCTTGGATTTCAGATCTCTCCGCATTCGATTCAGGAGTGTAATGTATGGTGTATTGGTGTGATTTGAAAGTTTGATTGACAGATTTAGGGATCCGGTGAGGTCTTGGCGATTTTGTGTTTCTGTGATGGAGAATTCGGAGGTGAAGGATTGCGTTAGAGTTGCAGTTAACATTAGGCCTCTGATTACTCCCGAGCTTTTAAATGGCTGTACTGATTGCATCACCGTCGTCCCTGGAGAACCACAGGTACTTTGGACCTAATTTCTTGCATTCATTTTATCTTTTAGAAATTTCCAATTTGTAATTTTATCTTATTTTATCCATTGTCATTTTTGTTTATGAATTCTGTTTGAGGTTATGCATTGGAAATGAAATTGGGATTTTCGTGAATGGTTTTAATTTGTTGGTTGCATAAACAGGTGCAAATTGGGTCGCATGCGTTCACTTATGATTATGTCTATGGAGGAGCTGGATTACCATCCTCAAGGGTATATGATGATTGTGTTGCTCCTCTTGTTGATGCTCTCCTCCGTGGCTACAACGCCACGGTTCTTGCATATGGCCAGGTTTGAATGAAATCTTTCTCTTTGTTCTAACTGTAATCCCTTGAGCAATATTTGTAAATGTATATTGTTCTGTTCTGTGCCATGTATCAACTGAATTTACCTGTACTTTTTTTCTTCTCAATGTAGACGGGTTCTGGTAAAACATACACAATGGGAACAAACTACACAGGTGAAGGAAGTAATGGTGGGATCATACCCAAAGTTATGGAAAGTATATTCGAAAGAGTTGAAGCAACGAAAGATTCTACTGAATTTTTAATCAGAGTATCGTTTATTGAGGTAAAGCAAGCTTCTGATAAGTCTATTCCATTTTTGGGGGGAAAATAATCATTTTTCTTCTCTTTTGCTTTATCTAGTCTATTGTGTCTGTGCTCATACAGTGATTTTCTTGAATAACAGATATTCAAGGAAGAAGTTTTCGACTTACTTGATCCAAATTCAACGTCTTTGTCTAAAGCTGAGGGGGCCTCTCTTGTCAAGCCAGCAGCACCCGGCAGAGTTCCAATACAGATTAGAGAAACAGTCAATGGAGGGATAACACTTGCTGGGGTAACTGAGGCAGAAGTTAGGACAAAAGAAGAGATGTCATCATATTTATCACGCGGTTCTCTATCTCGTGCAACAGGAAGTACCAATATGAATAGCCAATCAAGGTGAACCTTTAGGAAGTTATATATTTCTAGATTAGAGCATTATTTTGCATCCCATTGTTACAGAACCATTTCTTTACCATGGAAAACAACTTTACGAGGCCAGTGCAATCATTTCTTTAAAAACAATTCATTCATTCTTTGTTTTTTCTCCCTTCGTGTCCACGAAAAGACTTGATAATGTATCTATCCCTGTTTTGAGAATATCGACTGGTATTGTTTTTCTCCCTATTTTAATCATAGCGTCAGCTTTATCTTACAGAGAAAAAGAACCATTTTGTATAATTATTTTATGATTCTTTATTTTAAAAATTTTGCATTCAATTGTTAAGTAATTTTAGTAATGCACATTTGATTCTTTTCCAGTCGCTCACATGCTATCTTTACAATAACCATGGAGCAAAAGAGGATAGCCAGTTGCCAGGCTGGGGTAACAAATGATGACATTGGTGAGGATATCCTGTGTGCCAAGCTTCATTTAGTGGACCTTGCCGGCTCTGAACGTGCAAAGAGAACTGGCGCTGCTGGACTGCGACTCAAAGAAGGTATTATGATATTCCATAAGTACTATTCTGTGAACATTGGCCTAGTGTTACTTTTACTCTTTTATTTTATTTTAATTTTCTGTTTTATTTGCTCTAGGCATTCATATCAATAAGGGTTTACTGGCTCTTGGCAATGTAATAAGTGCCTTGGGAGATGAGAAGAAGCGGAAAGAAGGTGGCCATGTTCCATACCGTGATAGCAAGTTGACTCGCTTGTTACAGGTAGAGAAGTGGCTTATTTTATTTTATTTTTATTTGGCCTTTGGGGAGTGCCTTTTTAGCTTTTTCCTTTTTGAATGGTAATTTCTAATAGGTTGTTTTGTACAGATTAGGTTTCGATAGACATTAACAGTCCTTTTGATAGGTGAACATGCCTCTTAGAATGCTTCTAATGTGTTTAATGAGGTTAAGAATGCAGAATCATTTCATTTCACCGATTTCAAAGCCCAGCTTTATGATTGAGTCTTTAGCTTCAAGTTAAATCACTTTTTGTTTTGAAATTTCAATTGTATGATGGATGAATATCAAATTTCAGGATTCACTTGGAGGAAACAGCAAAACAGTGATGATTGGTATGGCGATTACATTCTCTAGACCAAGAAAAGGGTTTTTTTATTTTTACTCCTTTTTTTTTTTCTTTTTCTTGCACTGAAAGTTATATGTCATTTGTGTATTGTGGTCTAGCCTGTGTTAGTCCTGCTGACACAAATGCTGAAGAGACATTAAACACTTTGAAGTATGCTAATCGTGCTCGCAACATTCAGAACAAGGCAGTTGTAAGTTTTTAGTTTAGTAATAACATGAAAGAGGAAAGCTACTGTTATATGTGATGATTCTCTTTCTAACCATTTCATCTGCTTGACTTGATTTAGATCAACCGTGATCCGATGGGAGCTCAGATTCAAAGAATGCGAAGCCAAATTGAACAATTGCAGGCTGAACTTCTATTTTACCGAGGTGAAGGGACTGCACCATTTGACGAACTTCAGGTATATTTATACATGGAAAATATTTTTCATTTTTCTCTTAACATAATTGTGTAGCTAACTTAGTTTCTTTCCAGATTCTCAAACACAAGGTATCTTTACTTGAAGCAAGCAATGTAGAGCTACAACGAGAGCTTCAAGAACGAAGGGTTACTAGTGAACACTTGGCACAACGTGCTCTTGAAACTCAGGTTTTTTTCTCTTTATGTATATTTTAAGAATGATTTGCAGAAATCCCTTTTTCTGTATCCGACAGTACTTATGTTGCTGGTCAGATTCAATTCAATTCTGATTTAGACTATCATTTCAGGTTGACAGAGACAAGCTAATAATGAAAATTGAATCAGCTAAAAATGGTAAATCTTGGGATGAGATTGATTCTAACCAAAATCAGGTCAGAGTGAGTTAATTCTTTTTCTAGCTATCATTTCTGATTATTAAAATAAGCTAAACTTTTATTAAGGGGTTTGTTTCATTGTAGCAGGATACTGACTTGCTGAAAACTTATGTCTCAAAAATTCAAGAGTTGGAAGGGGAATTGCTATGCACAAGAAGATTAAACAGCTCAAAACGTAGCCGATTTTCAGATTGTGTTGACTCTGATGATGAGGGTTTTCAGTCAAAAAATGCATTGTTTTCTTGTGTTAATGAGTTGTCATCTGACTGTGACACCAAAGGTATGGACATCTCAGGTAAGTTGGGAAATTAACTATCATAAAGGTAAGGATATTTTCCAAATCCATTGTTTGAGTATATTTTTTTTCTTCACCTGCAGAGATTGAAGACAATGAGAAGGAGCTTGAACATTCTACCCTACAAGAGAAATTGGATAGGGAGCTTAAGGAGTTAGACAAAAAACTTGAACAGAAGGAGGCATGTGATAATTAAATTAGTCAAATGATGCATCTAATTATGCCTCCTAGTTTCTATTTTTTTACGATTTCTAGAGATATATGGCTATCTTAGAGAATGTTCGTCGAGCCTTTTCCAACTTCTTTCAGTTTGCTGCTACAGAATAGAGGTTTACAATTAGGAAAGGAAGAAACCCCTCATTAAAAAAATTCCTCGTGAAAGTTTGCCCATCACCTTTGCTACCAGTTAAATGAATATCTTTACTTTTTGAGCATTTTTGTTTCTATTCTCCAAATATTGTTTGTTCTGGCTATTTTTTGTTGACTCATATGTATTTGCTTTTCCTTTTTGATTTTACCCATTCAAGGCGGAAATGAAGAGATTTACAAATGTAGATACTTCTGTTCTTAAACAACACTATGAGAAGAAAGTTCAAGACTTGGAACTAGAAAAGCGGGCATTACAGGTCAGTCCTTTAATTTTTAGTCATGACATATATGTGATGGAAGGTCATTCAAATATACTAACATCTTCCTTCCTTCTGAAAAATGGCAGAAAGAAATTGATAACCTGAGACAAAACATTTCCAATATATCATCTACTTCTGGTGATGCAGCTCAAAAATTAAAGGAAGAGTATCTTCAGAAGTTGACTGTACTTGAGACACAGGTAGTACAAGATTTTGCTGCTGCATTTAAATGCAGTTGAGTTGTATTAGATTCATGTTCTGCTTTTCAGGTAGCAGAATTGAAGAAGAAACAAGATGCTCAAGCTCAACTTTTGAGACAAAAACAAAAAAGTGACGAGGCAGCAAAACGACTACAGGATGAGATTCAGAGAATCAAGACTCAGAAGGTGCCTCCAACCCCTTCTTTTTCTTTAAGAAATGAAATTTCTATAAATAGGAACTGGGTCTTGTCATAGTTCTAATTCAACTGTGAATCTTTAGGTTCAACTACAACATAAGATCAAGCAAGAATCTGAGCAGTTTAGATTATGGAAGGCATCACGAGAAAAAGAGGTTCTTCAGGTATGAGAAACTGCTGGCCTAATTGCATGTTTAACATATGAGTTTTTATGGTCATGTGGGTGTATTATTGCAATAATTGCATTAGGGCCAAATAACTGTGATAGAAATGTGGTCATTTATGGTATGCCATACCATCTGGATGGGGGATGATAACTTCGTTCCCCTTTATTATTAAACTTCCTTGATGTGGTTGTTTTAAAGGATATAAAGAAATTTTGTTTTTTTGGTTTTTTTTTTTTTAAACGTTTTACGAATTTGAATAGCAGAAATTCCCTCTTACTTGGTACAAGCATGTGTGTTTTCAGATAAATTCTTTCAGACCTGATTGAACTATCAACTATCTTTACAAAATTTTTCTTCAAGCCGGCAAGGTTCTCTTCTTTGACTATTGAATCTTTCCTTGGTGTGTGTTTTGTGAATTGCCAGCTTAGAAAAGAGGGAAGAAGAAATGAGTATGAAATGCATAAGCTGCTGGCTCTTAATCAACGACAAAAGATGGTAAACTTACATTTACTTAGGAATACTTTATCTTCATTATGTTTGAGAAATGTTTTTCAGACTATCTGTATTTTTGTGTCAGGTTTTGCAAAGAAAGACTGAAGAAGCCTCAATGGCTACAAAAAGACTTAAGGAGCTTCTTGAATCTAGAAAGGCCTCATCACGCGAAACTTTCAGTCAGTATCTATTTTGGATATTGAAGCTTATTGTCCATTTGCATATAGTTATTGTATATCACTGACGTTTTTCTTTGATACGTAGGTGCTGGAAATGGCAATGGTGTTGGGGTTCAGGTAAATTGGCCTTCTAATAAGAAGTCTGTCGTCTGATTTTATGAGTCTGATGTTCTGTAACGTATGGCTTTCAAATGACTATTAGATGAGACTTTTTTTCCCTTTTTAAGCATTTTTGTGGCAGAAAATTATTTACCTGTTCATTATTGATGCCCTCAAAAAATGCTATTCCTTATTAACATGTATTATTCTCAATTGAAGGCTCTGATGCAGACAATTGAACATGAGCTTGAACTCACAGTTCGGGTACATGAAGTTCGCTCTGAATATGAACGACAAATGGAAGAGTAGGTCCTCCTTATTTATTATTTTAAATAGTTATCAACTGCTGGTCATGAGTTTTCTCATTACAAAGTCATTAATAGTTTTTCCTTTGTTTCGATTGGACTATAATTTTGTTAATTAGAGCTTATATCTTGCTGACTGGGTTTAGCTTTTGCATCCTAGATGCTGTTTGAAGGGAACCGTTTCAGTGAAATAATGAAGTCAAATGCCCACAATATTCATTCTTACTAATTATTGATTGTCATTAGGCTTGCTGAATCATTTATCTTTTGATGAGTTGGTTAAAGTGGGTTTATCAATTTGACTTGCCAACATTGGAGGTGATTCATGAAAGTGTGATAATTTCTCTATGATTTTCTCAACATATTATTTTAGCAAAGAGGTTACAAATTTTAAATTTTCTATACTCCTTTATTTGCCTTAACTGTTCTACTTTTTTTTTCCCAACTGGGGGACTGTTTATGGAGCATTGATTATGTGTAGCTAAATTAATTTCTGTTATCCAAAACATGTTCGTGAAAACACACATCCACATAGAAAATAGATAGCGGGTTTGATGACAGTCACCTTTACTCACTTCATGCAAGTTTGTTTACAATTCATTAAAAAGAAAAAAAAAAAAGAAAAAAAAGAAAAAAGAGAAAAAAACCTAGATTGTTTACACTATAGAAGATTCCAAGTGGAATTTGTGCTTTTGCTTTACCAATTGTCAAATAATGTTCTATGATTTCTATAAATTTTATAGGAGGGCTAGGATGGCCAAAGAGGTTGCCAAACTGAAGGAAGAAGCTGAGATGCTTAAACGGACTAGTCTCAGGTGAAATTTTGTCATTATGTTGACGACTTTAAATAAACTTTGCTTCTCACTGTTGTCACAAACAAATAGTGTAATTGACTGTCTCTGAATGACCAAATGCAGTGATTGCCCTGAGACAATGTCGCCTGGTGCTAGAAACTCAAGAATTTTTGCACTTGAAAACATGCTTGCAACTTCTTCTAGCACTCTAGTCTCTATGGCATCACAGTTATCTGAAGCAGAAGAGCGTGAACGTGTTTTTAGTGGACGGGGCCGTTGGAACCAAGTTCGGTCTCTTGCTGATGCGAAAAATATAATGAATCATCTATTCAATTTAGCATCCACCTCCAGGTAAAACTTCTATTAACTGACATTACTTAGTTAAGAGGTCAATCATCTATTCAATAGATGTTGGACTCAATATTATTTCTCTTATTCTTTTTCAAGGTGCTCGCTGCGAGATAAAGAGTGTGACTGCAGAGAAAAGGACATAGCAATAAGAGATCTAAAGGAAAAGGTTGTCAAACTCAGTAGTTTCAATAGACAACTTGAAACCCAGAAGGCAGATCTTGTTCATGAGTTGAAACTGAAGGTAGTACATTGCTTTATCTGGATGATTATACTGCCATGTTCCTTTCTTGATCATTCAGACCATACCAAGTCGTTAAACACAATTAACACTTTAAAGTTGGCGGAGCAAAAAGTAAACCTTATTCAGTTATATTTACCCGCATACATAGATGCAGACATCGTTAAATGCTTTTAATCAAATCTTTCGAATTATGGTTGATAGTTTTGTTTTGAAGTTTGTGTGAATTTTATGAGTTCATAACCAGTCTTTAATTTTTACTTGCAACTGTTTGAGTTGAAAATTTTATTTGATATGTTTTATTGATCCCTGTAACAGAATGCAGCCCTGAACGATAGAAAACATAGATATGACTTGCGGAAGCAGGTAAATGCCATCCCTTATACCCTGTCGTTTCTGTCATGTCATTGTGGGAACATTAATGACTGCAAAGAGTTCTTATTCAAATACTCTAACTAGTGACTAGAGTGTTCTTTCTTGGGAAATAGAATGTTTTGGGTTTTGATCTAGTTACTTGCTTAATTAAAAAAAATGATTCCAGGATTACCGTAGCTCCATTATGGTTTTGGAGGACATGGATATATCCGGCTCGGAGCATTCAGATGTTGAATCTGAGGATGATGAATGGGTATTTTCCGGGGATGATGAATTGTTAAATTCTGTACTAAGGCCAGTTAGGAAAAGAAATCATAGAAATCGAAATGGAGGTGGCTCTGGTCCAAGAGGCAATCGATTAGATACCAGTAATATGGAAGGGGGCTCTAAAAACTCTCCAGAAGAGTGCATCACTCCTCAGACGGTGGAAACTGCATCTGGATTATGCTGTACTTGCACTAAAAGCTCGTCATGTAAGACAATGAAATGTCAATGCCGAGCTGCTGGTGGCATCTGTGGGGCATCTTGTGGCTGTTCATCTATTAAGTGTTCCAACAGAGAACCTTCATCAACCAAGGTGGATGAGGAACCAGACATGGGAATTAGTAGGGGTAATGTTTCAGAACCAGATGAAATGGAGAAGAATCAGATCCTTGCTTCCCAAGGTGCTAGGCTTCTTCTGAATGCATTGGGTGAGAAGGCATCAGAGACTAATGGTGACAATGGCACAAGGAGGAAGCCTCTAACAGACATTGGCAACACACTGGTTTGTTTTCATTGAATTTATAATCATATCACCTTTATTTAAGTTACACTTTCTGCATAGTTTCTTTGATGGACAGAAGTCACAGAACGAACTTAATCCTCACTTTGGCAATTAGTTGTCTGTTTGTGCTCACCAACTATAACTTAAACTTCCAACAGGCTAAGGCCAATGCACCAAAGCCCAACCAGAGAAAGAAATGGCGGAAATCCGTAATACAGCTAGTTCCTGTTCCTCCTTCCTCACAGCCTGAGAACTCAGCAGTGCCCCAAATGCCAGAAGACATGGAAGCTCCCAAAAGGCCGGATAGCTATGCAAGCGAGCCAGATATTCCGAAGCTTCCTAGAGCCATGAGATCAAGATCATCAAACGGAGTTAATCTGTTGAGGGAACGAAATGCTGGCAAACAAGATGAATCAAGCAACAAGGAGGCTGCTACTGTTCCTCCTAACAGCAGTCCCGCTAGGCCAACAAGAACATCAGATGAGAAAGAGAACTGCCGCCGTTAACGTGGTAGTTTCATGTACTGTTGTTTACTGGTAACGTATCCCACACTAACATTGTTATATTTCCAATGTACCTCATCACCATGGACCATTTTTCATGTCAGAATTTTTTTTTTTTAAAAAAAAATTTCTTGAATTTTTAGAAATGAGAAGATATGATTATTTGTCGAGTTTTTCCCATGATAGAAATGAGAATGGATTTTCCCCCATTTGCTTGGCGATTCATATTCATGGTTGAAAACAGCTACTACTTTGCTTGACCAGGCTTTTGATTCAACAAACATTAATATAATCTTAAGATGGCACTACTTAGAAACCATAATTACAACACTAAGGCATCCTGCATGATTATATATAAAATAATAATAATAATAATTTGAAATTTTTTGAAGGGTTGAGGTCTAAGCCTCTGTCGGTGGATCATTGCACGGCAGTCGGCAAAAACTGAGTAATTGAGCACGGAGCAGCGACTGCACCTAAAAGCATCATCTAACTAAAAAAGGGTAAATTTAAGTTATATAAGATATGCTTGAAGTGAAAGAACAGAGGAAGATTTTTAGATCTAGTGGTCAAATATCTAAATGTAAAAGATTTCCTCACTTGTTGATAAGAGTTTGAACTTGTGTAACCCTTTTCAACTCCCTTCCCCCAAGTTGTACTACTTTGTCTTATTCTTTAAAAAGAAAAAATGAAAAAGAAAAGAAGAAGAAGAAGAAAGTAAAGGAACAGCAAAAGATTGTTTTTCACTACATAGCCCAAAATCAAAATATTCACAATGAGTTTGCATTCTATTAGTATGAACTGATTAAAAAAAATGCTAGTCTAAACCATGAAAAACCGTTGGCCCAAAACAAAAACCTATGAAAAACCAAAATGCCCTTAACGTGGGCATCTCCATTAACTACCAAGATTGCACGAAAGTACGAAACAATTAAAGAGATAACAGCAATTAACTAAAATCCCTGATAGTGAATACAATATTTGATGTTCTTCAACTGAAAACCACATGATGTACTCGTGCTCGAGTTGTTCTTCAGGACACTTGCATGCATCTTGATGAAGATTATACATCCAAACTCTTATGTTGAGATATTGCTGCTTCAAGTCCTTAAAATTGGATACAGGACTATAACAACCACTTGATGAAGGAAGTCAGTTTTGGTTCATTTTGAGCTTTGTAACCCAGTAGTCAAGTTGGCTATCAACGCATTCCAACCCTGTGGAACCATAGGAGCAGAATTTCTTGACTGCATTTTCTACCCCGAGAAATTCATACACATCATTTTCAAATACAGGACTTAGGCTTCTCAACTCATCTAGACTCAGGTCCTGAAGCTGGCAGTTTTTGGAAACACATAACGCAACTGACTGTCCAACTATGTCATGAGAAGTTCTAAAAGGCATTCCCTGAAAAAAGTCAAACAGCAACAGAAATCAAAATTGGTCACAAATTGAGGAAAAACAGTTTTCAGGTTGGTTGATTGGTACATATGACTAACAACCCTGTACATAGACGGTGTTGGGTGTAAAACTAAAGAACATACACAGGAATGATAAATTAGGATTCATAATTCGAGAAATAAATACACCATTTTGAATGCTGTTATTCCTAGCAAAGCATTTCATAGGTTCCTCAAGTCAATCTAATTCTAATAGATGAAGACTGAGGTCAACAGGTTTAAAATACTTGCCTTCTTAACAAGATAATCAGCGAGTGTTGTGGCATCTAGGTAGCCAGCAGGCAAAGCCATCTTTATTCTATCTTCATTAAAGGTAATATTTTGGGCAAACTCTGCTGAAACTTCAAGCATTCCCACAATAGTCTTGACACTATCAAATGTAGGTTCCTTGTCCTCCTGTCTCAAGAAGAAACAAGGACTTTTTAACTTTGAAAGTATACAGAAGATTTAAAGATAAGGAAACCCAGCAGAGGGTGAGATGCAATGAGGGCTAAAACAACCCTGAATATCAATTTGTAACTAACAACCAAGATGTAGCAACCTTAAAAGTTTACACAATTGATAAATTTGGTTAAGACATGATTAAGCATAAAAGAAAAGCCTTTACCTGTAAATCACGATTATAGGCAAGAGGAAGTCCTTTGCACAAAGTGAGAAGGGTAACTAAATCTCCAATAACTCTAGCAGATTTTCCTCGGACAAGTTCCATTGGATCTGGATTTTTCTTTTGAGGCATTATACTGCTTCCAGTAGAAACAGAATCACTTGGTGTGATAAATCCAAATTCTTCAGAAGCCCACAATACCCATTCTTCACCAAGTCGAGACAGATGCATTGCTATTATGGAATTTGCAGAAAGAAACTCCAAGACAAAATCTCGGTCTGAAACTGCATCAATACTGTTAAAGCAGTGAATATGAACAATTACTATAGAGGGCTTGACATCCAGAAACAGACCGTACAAGATACAACAAATGGGATACAAAAATCAAACTAAAAGATGTATATGCATGAGAATCACCAGTAATAGATGCGTGGGATCATCAGTTTCGTTCTATAACATCCAAAGAATTGTTTCTATAATTTGTTCAGCACATACCTGTTCCTCAAGGGAGCAGTGAATCCCAAGGCATCAGAGGTCATAAACCTATCAATGGGTAAGCCAGTGCCAGCCAGTGCACATGCACCTAAAGGGCAGAAATTCAGTCTTGCTCTGCAATCTAGCAAACGGCCAGCATCTCGTTCAAGCTACAAGATAACCATCTTACGTTATCTCTCCAAAGTCCAAACATTATATGGATTTTGAACTTCAAGCTAAAATAGTGATATTGGACAACTATTTCTAACCTGCTCCACATAGGCTAATAGAAGATGTTGCAGCAGAAGAGGCTGAGCTCTCTGCAGATGTGTATAACCAGGAACTATCAAGCCCTCATTCTCTAAAGCCAAGCTCACCAATGCAACCTGAAGATGTTTAATGCTCCCAATGATCCTGTCAATAGCATCACGGCACCAAAGGCGAAAATCAGTCAGAACTTGATCATTTCGACTCCTGGCAGTGTGGAGCTTCTTCGCAGGTTCACCAATCATATCAGTGAGAGTTGCCTCTATGTTCATGTGAACATCCTCCCTATCAGTCCTCCACACAAATTCACCACCTTCAATGCACCTCTCAATTTCTTCTAGACCTTGCAAAATGCTATCCCTATCACTAATGCTGATCAATCCCTATATCAAAGACAACAAAAGATAGAATCTTTCTCAAATCAATCCTCCCAAAATAAGCAAAAAGTCCAAAATTTTCTACCATGTACTCATTCTCTACCACACTCCCCCACCATCCAGAAAAAACCCACATTCCAAAAACCCAGAAAAACACATTTACAAGAAAATGTGGACGAACCTGTTGAGCAAGCATAGCAGCATGAGCTTTACTCCCCATAATATCATGCTTATACAACTGCTTGTCAAATGATATCGACTCAGTGAACTTCTCAACGATATCTGTGACACTGTCTTCGAATCTACCACCCCACAGCTTGGCCTCTTTGGCTTTCGCTTCGGTTTGAGATGAGTGGCTCACGGTGCACGACAATGGCTGGAGCCTTGGCTTGGAGCTATGAGTAAGTAGGCGCGTCGGTCTAGTTAGGTTGGAGGAGAACAGGCTCGATTGTAAGGAGAAAAACTGCGTTGGCGAAGAAGACAGCAGCGATTCCATAGAGCCGGCGAAGGAGATGGTCAAATGGAGAAAGCAATGAGGTTTTCAGCAGTGATCAACTTCAGTCTTCAACAAGTGTCAGTATTTCAGGGCCGCGGGTCACTTATATTGATGAGCTTGGGCTCTTTTCGTTAAGTAATGGGCTTGGGTTTATTACAGAAAATTGATTTTTTTTTTAAACATATTACAATTTAAAAAAGTGAGGACTCAAACTCCTACTTGAAGTTAAAAGATATATCTTATAATCAGATATATAATTATCGAGTTAGAGATCCCAAGTGTGACCTTACGACTTTTATTTTTTTTAACTAAATAAGATTTTATTTATCAAATGAATTGATTGTATGGCACTATGGCATCTACATTGGTAAAAAATGTTCTCTCATTATAAGGACTTACAACTATTTGTGTAATTCACACATTAAAACGCAAAAAAAAAAAAAGAGTAAATCAATTTTAATAATATTCTAATATTAAAGAATTCTAATGTTAAAGAAAAGTAGTGATACTATTCACATACTTCTTTAGTGAGACATTCTAGTATATTCGGAACACTTCTCAATCTACCATTGAGATTAATAAGTATAGACTCTATTGATTTCGTAACCAAAACAACCATGTACTAAGATAAATTTGGTAGCAATTTTTTCTTCTTTTTCTTATTGTCCATTGTTCCCTTTGCTAGATCTAAACAAGAAACCTGCAAATATACAAAATCAACTGGAAACTACTAGCTGGAAAAAGAAAGGAGGAAAGAAAAAAACAAAGAGAAAGGAAAGAAATAAAGAGGAAAGTTGGAGAAAGAGATAGGACTATTGAGATAGGGGAAAGATAGGGAGAAAAAGATTTTACAGAGATGAGAGAATTTAGATGAGAAATGAAAGAAAAGAGGGCTGGAGACAGAAAGAAAGGGAGAGTAGAGGAAGAGGAGAAAGGAGGTTAGAAGAGGAGGAGAAACAACATTCAAAAACCAGTGACATTGGGTACCATGCTCAGGGGCACAACCTCCCTAAGAACCCAAAAAGTTTTGAAGACGAATGGTTTGAAGAGATTATGACTTTTAACCCATCATCATGCTCGAAATAAGAAAAGTGATTTGGAGAAGAATTCCTTATCTTGCAATTGAGCTTGGATTTATAAAAATTTCAAACTATATTAAATTATAAAAAAAAATTTATTAGCATTTAACTTTAGAGGTCCAATGACACTAATTATTGGAAAGTGCATTTCTTCCTCCCTTTGACACTAACCATTGGAAAGTCCATTTCTCCTTCGTTTTGGCGGGTTTCGAATTTGTCTCATGTCAAAAAGTTTTAAAAAAAAAATAAAAAAAATTACTAGATGAGAGTCAATTTTTATTTAATAATTTATATTGAATTATATAATATTATTGTTTACAAAAAAAATTTAATTTTTGTTTGGAATCTCCATTGATTAGATTGAGAAAACATAAACTCAAAATAAAGAAAAAATTTACAATATAACAAATATATATCCTACATAATATAACTAATTATTATTTGATACATTTACAAACTTATAATAAAATAAGATCCTTTCTCATTTACTTTAATCTTTATCCAAAATAGTACGAGAATAATTGATATTATGGATCATGGATGATCCCATGACGCATGTGTTCCAAGAAAATCAAAAAAAAAAAAAAATCAATTATTATAAAAAAAATAAATATAAAACTTTATAAAATAATAATATATATAATGCCACTGATCATGGTACACGAGTCCCGCACGGCCCGGATAATCAAACAAAACAAAAAGAATAAAAGACAGCAAAAAGAGGTACAACTATGGGATGACTGGACCGTGCACTATGAAGCCAGAAACTATTTCATATATGTTGTTGGATTTTTTTAATTTGGGTGAATAGATGTTAAAAATGTATTAAATATATAATAAAATATAAAAAATTAATATTAATTTTAATATTATATAAATTTAATTAAATATTTAATAAATCAAAATTTAATTTTTATTTTTAATATAAATTTATAATAAAAATATATTTTTAATTTATACTATTAAAATATAAGTTAAAAAAATACTATATATGTTGTTTGTTATTGTCACCCAAAATGGGAAGCCATGTGTGCGGTGTTGTTTGGCTGACAAGTCCGAGTGTCGTGACATTTTACATGAAATGATTGAGAGGAGAAATGATAGAAAAACAACACACACCTTCATGTTAGATTGGTGGCTTTCTACCCTTCATCTTTGTGAAAATGAAATGAGAGCCTATCAAATACCACCGAACATGCTCTTGTCACTTTTGTGTTGTCCCTACCCTTTTTCTCATTTTCTTATGTGGATTTGGATTTTCTTCCTCAGCCGCAAATTCTACACCTTTATGGCCACCTATCCACACTTATTAATTTGATTCCATCAATGATATTTTGGCCAATAGTTAAAATATTAGCAAGTTGGGGGTTCAAGAATGTTGTTATACTCGTTGCCTTTTTCTTTAAATTTCGATTTCAAAAATAATATTGTATAATCATATTATATTCAATTACACAATATAAATTAACAAAGTAAATTAATAAAAATTAATAAAAAAATCTTTCTAAAAGTGTCCTTCCTCCTTAAGATTGTTTAAAGTACTTTTTT